CGCAATGCTCAGTAGATAGGATGTCCCAGGACTTGGGCCACTACCAGCTTTTCTCACCACCATCCCCACCATGCATGGAAGTAACTGTGTAGAGGAAGGAATACTGAATTCATAGACAGAAGACCTGGGTTCTAGACCAACCAATTGTGTGATCTTAAGCAGGGCATCTCACCTCTCTTCATCTTATTTTCTTCCAAAATATTATGGTTTGTTTACTCATATCCTCAACAAACATTTATTGTGTGCTAATTGTGAATGAAGCAGTATGGTAGCCATTGGTGATATGAAAATAAAAAGAAAAAAACTTGTTTCTTGTCTGAAGGAGTTCATGGGAAGAGACAGAGACATGAAGAGGAAATTACAGCACGGGGTGATGGGTGCTGAAATAAGGGTTTGACCTGGGTTTTAGGGAAGGTGTGAGAGGAGGGGGGCATAACCCATCTTGAACAGCAGGAGTTGAGTTGGGCATGGCTTTCGGGAAAGGGTGATTCTAAAAGATGAGTGTGGTGAATGAGGAAAGGGCAGGGTGGTGGGGGCGAGAAGCTTCTTAAGAAGAAGAGATGACTGAGTTATCTTCATTGTCCTCATGAGCAGATGTACTGCCATTCCCACCCCTGGCACCACTCAATGCCTCCCTCCTCCTGGTGGTGTCACTTCTGGCTGAGTTGAAGATGCAGGGCCTTAGTGAAAGAGGGACAGGGGAGGCATGGCCATAAACTATAACCCAAGGACCACACTCAACCCTTGGAGAAATCTTTTTCCTGCTCTGTTGGTCACCACCTGAGATGGAGAAGTGAGATGAAAGGAATAAGATGTTGGGAAGAAATGAATCTCAAATAGCTCAGCTGTGGGAGCAGAAATAGCCTATCCTAACCCTTAGGCTGAGTTAAACAATCCCAGGTGGAGGCAGGAAGATGAATTCAATGACCTGTGATCCTTAGTCCAAACAATTAAGACTGTTCTAGGGCTGGACAAGAAATAACATCTGAGGGATGAGATGGAAGAAAGAAGAGAACTGGGGATTTAGGGATGTGTGGATCTGGGGCAGCTTGCTCTAGGAGAGATAGGAAGCCAAGTGGTGCTGGGGGAGGCTGTGGCCATGTGTGGTGTGAAAAAGCTGAGTATTGGTGACTATAGAAATCTCCCTACCAGGTGCTAATTCAGGGACAGGGATGAGCACTAATACATGGCTGCCTAGAACTGGAAAGTGATTTCAGTTGTCTCAAGGTGGAATTTTAAATTCTATGCACAATGAAAACATTGTCTTAACACATTTCATTTTTTTAAAGTTTATTAACATTGGTTAATGCAATTATATAATTTTCAGGTTTACATTATAATTTGACATCTATATATTCTATTGTGTGATTACCACCCAGAGTCCAGTTTCCTTCAGCTACCATATATATGATCCCCTTTACCCACTTCACTCTCCCCTAACCCCCCTATATTTGACCCCCTTTACCCTGTCTACCTCTTCCCTCCTCCCCCACCCCCTACCCTCTGGTAACCACTAGTCCCTTGTCCATGTCCCTGAGTCTCTGTTTGTCCTGTTCATTTGTTGCTTTTAGATTTATATCCCACAATTAAGTGATAATTTGATTTTCAACTTTTTCAATCTGGCTTATTTCACTTAGCATGATTATCTCGAGGTCCATCCGGATTGTCACAAATGCTCTGCCCATTTTTTAATCGGATTTTTTTGATGTTGAGTTGTATGAGCTCCTTTTAGATTTTAGATATTAACCCCTCATCAGATGTATCATCGGCAAATATCTTCTCCCATTCAGTGGGTTGTTTTCTTCTAGTTTTATGGTTTCAGGTACTACATTGTCTTTAATCTATTTTGAGTTTATTCTTGTATATGGTATAAGAAAATGGTCTAGTTTCTTTTTTT